CTCTTTAATTTTGATACTAGCTATATGGAATCTCTTCCTTATCTTATTTTGTACTCAACCATTTTAATTTGTTTATTATTTTTCTCTATGCTGTCTGTATTCTATAGGTATATAATTGTATAATTAGATTTTTAGTCCTATTTGTGTTTATTATTTCAATATTTTTATATTTTAACATCTTTTATGAACACAATTCAGTATTACCAATTATTTATCTTCTGCAGCAGCTTTATGATAGTTTATGGATAAATATTATATCTTTACTATTTAGTTTTTTTTTTTTTTAGGTTTTTGCCATAGAGTGTGTGTGCTTGCTGGAGAAAGAGAGAGAGAGAGAGAGTTACGGAGAGAGAGAGAGAGAGAGAAAGAAAGGGAAAGTGAGAAATCACCTCCTGGGAGGATGATCATGCCATAGTCCCTTTTCTTCCATTCTCCTCTCAGGACTTTGGGCATACATGCACATGTATTCAGCATGATTCTCAAGCCACCAAGTTTGGGACTTGAACGAAGGACGACCATGTGGGAATTCAGCACCTTAACCACCATGGCATCTGCTGGCCTCTTCCATTTAGAATATTAAAAACTTAATTTAGGGAACCAGCAGTTAGCGTAATGGCTATATCGCTGGACTCCCACGTAGTCGACCGTGGTTCGCGTCCTGGACCCGGTGGCTTAAAACTCACGCCGGGCGCATGTGCGTGCATGCCCAAGATCCCGAGAGGAGAATAGAGGAGAAGGGATTGTGGCGTGACCATCCCCCCTGGGGGATGATTTCTTGCTTTCTGTCTCTCTGTCTGTCTGTCTCTCTCTGGCGAGCACACATGCCCTATAGCAAAAATCTCTCCAAAAAAAACATAATAATTTAATCCTTTCTACATTTACTTGTTTTTAGACCTCTTTTCCTTTTTTATTTTTTTAAAAGAATTATTTTATTGAACTTTGTTTATTTACTTTCATTTAACCAGTGAGGGACAGAGTGGGGGTGGGGGAGAAAGCAAGCTGCCAGGTCCAGGACTCAAACCATGGTCAGCCACGTGGGGAGTCCAGTGCCACACCACCTGCCAGCCACCCCCCCCCTTTTTTAATTTTTCACTTCTATTTAATGATCTAGGATTTTCCCAAAGTTGGGATGGGACAATCTGTGGTTTTCATTCCAAAAAAATCCTGCTCATAAATGAGATTGGTAGAGGTTTTCTCAGCCATTAGAAGTTGCCGGGTTCCTATCCTGAATGCAAAAATTGACAGTCACTAAATATATTAGCTAAATTTTAGCTTAAATGAGTATAAAAAGGGCAACATTTACTCTGATGTCAGGAGCTCAGAATTTAAGCAGGACCATGTAGGGAAGTCCCCCTTTTGTTGACAGAAGTGGCAATACAACTTCCTGCATTGGGAGTTGAACTTCTATGATTTTTGGTATTGTGTGGAGTTCTTTTAATTTGTGTATTTCTTGTGTTATTTTAGTGAGATTTTTCAGTGGGCAAGAAAAATATGTTACCACTTGGCATAATGGCTATGTTGCTGGACTCCCATGCAGCCTACCACGGTTCGAATCCCAGACCTGGTGGCTTAAACTCATGCCAGGTGCGCATACGTGCATGCCCAAGATGCGAAGAGGAGAATGGAGGAGAAGGGATTGTGGTGTGGCCATCCCCCCGGCGGGTGATTTCTCGTCTTCTCTCTCCATCTCTCTCTTTCTGGCGAACGCACCTGACTTATAGTAAAAACCTCTCAAAAAAACAAAAAAACATGAATTTTCAGTTATATATGTTGTACACAATAAAACTAAATGTAGGTTTATTTGAAGCCTACTTTAAAAACTATTGGCAATAATGTGACTTTAATTTATTTGAAGATGAATATTAAACTTAGAGAAGTGTCATACCTGAGTTTGAACAGCATGGTATAGTGGTTAAGAACACAAGGTTTGAGACTAGGCCCACTAGTTTACATGTTAGTTTTTTTGTTTTTTTCCTGGATTTTGCCATAAGGCATGTGCACTTGCTGCAAAGAGTGGCAGCGAGAGGGAAAGTGAGAAATCACCCTCTAGGGGGGAAGCCATGCCACAATCTCTTATCCTCCATTCTTCTCTCAGAGTTCTGGGCACATATGCACATGTGCCTAGTGTGATATGCTGCCAGGTCCAGGACTTGAACAGTGGTTGGCCATGTGGATTGGCCATGTATGTGAGTCCAGTGCCTTAACTACCATGTCATCTGCTAGCCCCTCTATGTTAATTTGGATGGCATAGGCATACGGCATGTGCCATAATCTTTATCTCCCTCATTTTTTTTCATTGTATATAAAAATAATACCAATCTTAAATGATGCTAAGAGATTTAGATAAGTCACTGTTAGGAAAGTGCCTAGAGTAATTGGCACTTAGTGACTACTAGATAAGTGTTTTTTTTTTTTTATAATAACTTTAAATGTTTACTTAAAAAATATATATATCTGCATATGAAGGCAGGTACTTTTAATTTATCCCAAATAATGATTTGCGATATATACTTAAATTGAATAACCACATCTGTATCTGTCTTTAATATTTTGCAGCTTATCGTGAACCTCATTATTATTACCAGTTCACAGCTCGATATCATGCAGCTCCCTGCAATAGTATTTATAATATTTCCTTTGAGAAGAAACTTCTTCAGATTTTAAGCAAATTGGTTCTTGACCTTTCATGTGAAATTTCCTTACTTAAATCTGAATGTCATCGTGTTAAAATGCAAAAAGCTGGTTTACAGAATGAATTGTTCTTTACATTTTCAGGTAAGCATATACAATAATTCTCTAAGGAAAAACAAACTGAAAACACATATATAATTTTAAAGACATGTGAATTAACAGCTTATTGAAAAGTGAATTAAGACAAAGTGTTTCAAAGGGAAGCACAATATTGGAATACCAAGCACTGCTTTTGATATCGCTGTGTTATTTGAAAGACAGTTTGAATTAGTCATAAATGTATTGGGCTGTCAAACCTAGAATAACACCTGGCATTTTGTAAGCTACTAGTAATCATTTGTTAAGTAAATGAGTGAATTCATTCAGGAATGTGGTTATCATCTCAGTTACCATGGTCATCACCACGGCTCTTCTCATTCACTTTGCAGTGTGATTGTCATGCTTGCCTTGATCACTTTGTGTAGCCAGGCAGTACGAATTTAGTCAAATGGCACACATTGTATTATGTAGGTAAAGTTGGAGTATTGAATGAATATGAATTTATTTATGCATACCTATATATTATAAAAGTTGAAATAATTCCTGAGAGCAGTAGGTGATATGGTGGTTAAGTCTCTGGACTCACACATTGGCAACCATGGTTCAAGTCCTGGACCCTGAAGCTTGAAACATACCTGGAGTGTGCATGCGTGCCCAAAATCCTGAGAGGAGATTGGAGAAGAAGGTATTGTGGTATGGCTGTGCTCCCTAGGAGGAGATTTCTCACTTTCCCTGTCCCTGTCTCTCTCTCTCTCCAACATACACTATGGCAAAAACTTTTTTGAAAAAAGTTGAAATAATTTGGCTTAGGATTTTTGCTAAAAAGAGTGATATAGTATTTGAAAAACTGCTTGATTTTCTGTATCTGAAGAGATATATTAGACAAATGATGTTTCATTTTTCAAAAGCCAATTTAAATATTGTTACGCAGTATGTTAAACCCATGATAAAATATAATACATTTTCTCAGTTTCATCTCTAGATACTGAAAAAGGATCCAAGCCATGTATAGACCATGATTGTGAATCTTCCAGAAGACTATCTAAGGTATGTTATATGAGATTAGAAAAAAGTATCAGAAAGTTTAATGAACATGCTCAGTGTGTAAGTAAGCATACTGACTGTTTATAAAATACATCTAGTCCCCACAGTTAGGAATTTCAATAATAAAATAAGAAATTGATAAAATCGATATTTTCATAAAATACTTTCAAACTTACCTTTTTATACTTGATCATATGAAGAAAAATGTTTTGTCCACATTCATTTGTCCTTATTTGCCTTGACTAATTAATTTATAATTATTATCCAGGTAAAATTCTGTCTAAGTTATTATCCACCCTAAATAAGAAGATATTTGAACTAATTCTGCTCTTGGCAGGCTGAGGCCACATGGGAGGGCTGTGTTCAATTCCTGGCCCACCCTAAGAAGTTGGGTGCAGTAGTGTGTACACACAGTCCTCGCTTCTAGGGAGCCTGACGTGAAAAGATCACAGACTCTTGGCCAGTGTAGGCAACAAAGACACTGTCTAGAAGAGCTGGCAGAGCAGTAGTAGCTGTAGTCCTAGCTACTCAGGAGACTGAGGCAGAAGATTGGGACGTAGACCTGTCTAAAAACAAAACACCACGCACACAGACATAGCCACACAGAGAAAATGTGCTTTAACTCTTAGCAGCAATTTTACTTCATTCTCTTTTTTCCACTACACTTAACATATTATTCATACTTAATTAATGTATGAAAGTATTTTCCTGTTTCTAATTATACTCTACAGACTGAAAACCCTCTTTAAAAACTAATATTTTTAAATATGTGAAATATAGTTATATAATTATGATGGCTGTAAAAATTTTCCTATTAAAGGTAAAGGTATTGCATATCAAGGACAATATCCATTACTTTTGTCCAGTGAAATTGACAGGGGTATTATTTCTTCATTTCTATCCACTGAGCCTCCGGAAGTAAGTCACCAGTCTGCATATTATTTTATATTTCCGTATAAAAATGGGACCAGCAGGCAGCATGGTGGTTAAGGCTCTGATCTCACATGACCAACTCTGCAGTTCAAGTCTCAGACTTAGCAACTTGAAAAGCTAGACAGACATGTGTGTGCATGTACCCAAAATTCCAAGAGGAGAAGAAGGAGAAAGGATTGTGGTATGGCCATGCTCCCTGGGTGTGATTTCTCACATTCCTTCTCTCTTTGCGTCTGTCTGTCTCTCTAGCAAGTACACATGTCCTGTGGTACAAATCTTAAAAATAAAATAAAATTTACCATAGTGGCTTCCTATGTTCACTGGGATAGATTTTCTTGTTGTTGTTAACTTTTGTAATGGGATTTTTTTTTGAGGGGGGAATACAAAGCAGAAAGCAGTTATCTCATATTTTTCCTCTTGTTTCTTAATCCACAAGTGCTGTATTAATCATTATTCACTTATTTCATAGCACATTTTTTATCTTCTACCAGTCTTTAAACTTTTAAATAGTCACAGACATTGAGCTAGTATTGTTTCTTTGGTGATGCTGTAGGAACACTTGTTGAAACATAGGGATCAGGAGTAGCCTGAGCAATTTGACCCATTTTGTTATTTTTCCTGATGGTGGTCTTGTAGTGATACCCATTTGTAACTTTCTTATGTCTTTTATAAAACTGAGAGTCACCTTTATCTCCACACTTTAAATAGAAACTCAGGAATAAATAAAAAAAAAATTAAACAATCAAGATTTGAGTAAGATAGATCTGAACTTTAACTGAACTTATTTGTTCCTTAGAAATATTACCTGATTTTTATTAGGTTCCTCTATAAATATTCTGCTGTGTAATATGTCCATGGGAACTTTTTAGTTTTTAAAACCATATGGTTAATCTTTATCCTGAAATGTAAAATAGTTTATTTAGTTTGCTCTAGAAAATAAAAATTGACAACTGCTTTTCTGGCTTGATGATAATATGTAACCAGCATAATACATGGAATAATAATCAAAAGAATTCAGAAACTCCAGGCGGAACTATATTCATAGAAGCACTCCAGGACCCTTGTTTACAAATCTGAAAAATTATTTAACATACCTGCCTTATTGTTAGTTTCATTCCCCTGTATTCTAGGACTGTTTCATCTTGTATTAGCTTTTGATATATTGCTCAATCTAGTCATTTGATTTTAGGAAGATCTATTGGGTTGTTGAAAAAATCATGACACATTTTTACAACAGATGGTGCTAGTTCATTTTTGGAATTACTAGAGTCATTTGTATCCAGTTATTACTATGTCATTTGAGAGCTGACAGTTCTAGCTTCATTCTAATAAAAAATTAAGTGATTTGATTGAGTTTTGAAGGTTTTACAACAAATTGAAGATGCAAGACCAAACTGTGCCTTTTCACCATATTTTACTGTTTTACTTCTGTAAAGGAAAGAACATGCTTCTAGCTTGTGAAAAGTTATATAAAGTTTGGGGTAACATGCTCTACAAGAACATCAGTGCCAATGATGGTTAATGAAATTCCAGGCTGCTGATTTTGATTTCAGTGATGCTCCTAGGTTAGGGAGGCCCACCCAGGTTGATAACAAAATAAAAGCATATTGATGGAATCAAACTCACAATATGCGAAACAGGAGATTCCAGAAACATTGAACGTCCATCATTCAAATGTTCACAACCACCTAAAGAAGCTGGGATATGTAAGAAAGCTCTATTTGAGTTCCTTATAAACTCGAATATTTGACGGTGCACATAAATATCTGCAATGTGCTCATTAAATGTGAGGAAAACGATCCTTTTACAAAGTGACTGAAGTGGATTGTTTACAACAATGTGGTGCACCAACACTCTTGATCCTGATGTGATGATTCACCTCAAATGACATTGAAAGCAGACATTCCTCTGAGGAAGGTTATCCTCTCAGCGTAGTGGGATTTTAAAGGTTTCTTGTTTTTTGAGCTCCTACCAGACAACCATACAATCATTTTGAATGTGTACTGCTGGCAATTGGATAGTTTGAACAAATCCATCACGAATCATCTAAAACTTGATTGTAAAGGAACTGTGTTCTATCATGACAATGTGAGACCACACACAAGTTTGATGATCCGTGGAATTTGGATGGGATGTGTAGCCACATTCACCATACTCGCCTATCTTTGCGCCATGAGACTTTCTCTTGTTTTGCTATCTCAAAAACTCCTTGCAAGGTATAACATTCAGTTCAGGTGAGGCTGTAGATCAGCACTTCATTCTTTTACGAAAACTGACAAGTTCTTATATGAATGAGGAATTATGAAGCTCATTGAAGGATGGCAAAAAGTTATCAAACAAAATGGGCAAGATACGGATCTTTTTTCTTTTTTTGGAGACTTTTTGCCATAGGGTGCATGCACTCACCAGAAAGACAGAGAGAGACAGAGAGATAGAAAGCGAGAAATCACCCCCCAGGGGGGATGGCCACGCCGCAATCTCTTCTCCTCCATTCTCCTCTCGGGATCTTGGGCACACACGCCCAGGTGCCTGGCATGAGTTTAAGCCACCAGGACCAGGACGCGAACCGCAGTCGACTACTTGGGAGTCCAACGACATAGCCATTACACTAACTGCCGGTCCCCTGACCTTTTTTCTTTATATAAATAAATGACCTTTGAAGAACATAGAGGGACCAGCACATGGAGTGGCGGTTACGTTGCTGGACTCCCATATGGCTGACCTTGGCTGGAGTCCCTGACCTGATGGCTTGGAACTCATACCAGGCACATGTGTGTGCTGCCCAAGATCCTGGGAGGAGAATGGAGGAGAAGGGATTGCTGCATGGCCATCTTCCTCAGAGGGTGATTTCTCACTTTCCCTCTCAGTGTCTCTGTCTCTCTCTCTCTCTTCGGTGAGTGCACACACCCTAACACAAAACTTTTTCTTTTTTTGGAGAGGTTTTTGCTAGAGGACACATGCACTTGCCAGAAAGACAGAGAGAGACAGAGAGACAAAAAGCAAGAAATCATCTCCCAGGGAGGATGGCCACGCCACAGTCCCTTCTCCTCCATTTTCCTCTTGTGATCTTGAGCGTGCATGCATATGCGCTCAGCGTGAGTTTAAGCCACCGGGTCCAGGACTCAAACTGCAGTCAACTACATGGGAGTCCAGTGACATAGCCATTACTCCAACTGCTGGTCCCAAGACAAAACTTTTTATACATCATTTAGATTGTGAAGAGACTTTACACAGCATGATTTATACCTCAGTCCAGCCTAGTTGAGACTATTATACACATATATCCTCATCAACTTATAATAAACCTTATCTGTGTCCCATAAGTGTCTTAACCTCTCCATTTGCCCCCAAATTTTCTTTCATACGTTCTTCCCCTCCCTCACTCTATTTCCACTTTGTGTCTAGTGTCCATTACAATTTTTAATACTTTTGTGTTCTCCAGTCTTTCAGTCACTACCATGGAGTGTAGACAGTCGGTATATGTTAAGTAGAGACATACAATATTTCTCTTTCATAGCTGAAATGCCTCTCTTTTTTTTGTGGCTGGGTAGTATTACGTATTGTATACATGCCACATGTTTTCAATCTATTCATCTGTTCGATACTTGTGTTGATTTCAGGTCTTAACAATTGTGAATAATGAATAAACATAGATGTGTGAGTGTTTTTCCAATTGAGTATATTCCTATGCTTTTGATAGATATCCAGGAGTGGAACTGGTGGATTGTGTGATAATACTATTTGTAGTTTTCCAAGAAACCTCCATATTGTTCTCCATAGTGGCTCTATTAATTTTCATTCCCACCCGCAATGTAGAAAGGTTTCCTCTTCATCACAGCCTCGCTAGCACTTATATTTAAAAAATACTAATAATAATCCTAGCCATTCCAACTGGGATTTTTTAATCTTCGCCAGTCTCACTGGGGTTAGGTGGTATCTCATTGTGGTTTTGATCTGCATCTCCCTTACAGTGAGGGGTGTTGAGCATTTTTTCATATGCATTTTGGCTATTCATATGTCATTAGAGAGTGGTTTTTTCCAACTCATTCTCCCTTTTTTTTAAATAGAGT